ATGACTAATAGCAGTGGTAGGAGTTTTACAGGTGCTTTCGAGTTTTCAATTTCCACAATGATCCTGTGAAGGAAGTATTATCCCCATTTTACAGATGAGGAAGCTGAGACAGAGAAGTACCCATCATTTCAGGTGCTAAGTAGTAGAGCTGGGATTCAAAATCAGGTATCCAAAGTTCATGTGGTCTCTTTTAGGGACTACTTGGGTTATCCAACATTTGGGACAAATCAAGTCGTTTCTGCACTCCATGATTTTTACAGATGACACAGAACATCCTCCATCCCTAACTGTGAGAGTCTCAGGTTCAAAAGTTAATTGGTAAGTTGGATGCTTGAGACTCAGAAAGCAAGGATTTCTTGGTTCCCGGAACCACCATCAAGAACCCTTGACTCCTGGCAGCTCCCAGACCCTGGTGGGGGTATCTGCATCCCATCTCTGCCCTAAAGCTGAAGGCTTCCAGGGTTAACACATGATGAAACTGCTTCAGAGCCCCATCAACCCTGGGACACATCTCTAGGAAACACATTTGGAATTCCCCCTGGAGGCTGTAAGGATTGGGTCCTTCTCCTAAACTAGGTCTGGTCCAGGCACGGGGTTCTAGTGGGAGCTGAGTGTGGTGGCTTGTGTTACATCAGGTCTGAGGAGTCTAAAGGGGGTGTCGGTCCCAGCACAGAGGTTCCTGAGAGCCGGGAGGCAGAGGCAACAGCCCCTTACAGGCTGGGCATTTGGATACAGGGACCTCTGGAGCTGTATTTTCTCTGCTAGGCAGGTCCTCATCGCCTCTTTATCTTACTTTCCTGCTATGGCTCCAGGGCTCTCACCCACATCCCACGAGTTTATCCTGTTTGATACATATTTTTCCACAAAAAATTCCATTGTTAGAAATATAATTTGGTACAAAGTTAAAAACTGTACTATAAAGTTTATAACATAGGGCAGCAACCTCCTGCCCCCCCGATCCCCAACCCAAGTCCCTCTCTAGGCAACACTTAGAACTCAGCCATTTCTGCTGGTGTCTACCTCTGTACTGAAATCTCATGCTGATTCTACTTCTTGATTTTTCAGTTTTATATATTATATGTCATGATATAGAATATCATGATAGCATATTCAATCTCTCCAACACAGGTATACTTCTTATCCTGTCTGTACATCCTTGGGTGTCTCCCCTGTCCTCATGCTCCAATCTGGGCTGGCTGGCCTTGGCCTCTAGCCCACACACACAGCCACTGCCAACATCCTGGGGACTCTCTCTGCCCCTCTCCTCTGTTGGATCCTCCGTTTCCTGTGTTCCTGTGTCCTGGTTTTCTCCCTTGTTTGGCTGGAGCACATCCTGTAGTAGCTGCCTGAGAAAGAATGTATGGGAGGCAAATTAAAACAAAACAAAACTTCACAAGTCTGAAAATATCTTCATTCTACTGTCATTAAGATTTGGGTGGATATAAACCCAGCTTAGAAATTATTTCCTGCCAGAATTCGGAAGATACTTCTTCACTATGTTCTGGCTTCAAAATTTGCTTTGAGAATTTCAAAGCCATGTTAACCCCTGACCCTTGGTATAAGACGTGTTTCAAAAAATTTTTTTCTCTTTGGAAGGTCTTAGGATTTTTTTTCTTTAGGATTTTTATCCTGGTGTCCTGAAATTTCATGATAAAGCTTGCTATAGTTCCCTAAATTTTTATTCGGAAAGATTTCAGACATATAAAAATAATTCAAATATGACATATAATGAAATATTATACATATTACAAACCCATCTATCCATTGCTGAGATTAATGAAACATTATCAGTAAAGTTGAAACCGTTCCTTGTGCCTCTTCTTCTCAAGATGTATCTTGAAAGCTGTTGTTTATCCTTCCTATGCATTTCTTTATTCTTCCACTGCATAAAATATATGTTAATATATAACATTTTTGCATGTTTTAAAATCTCTATATAGATGGTGTCATAACATATTTATTTTTTCTGCCATCTGTTTCTTTGCTCAGCATTGTTTGTGAGAGTCATCTATACTAAGCGTGGCCTGACTATATCACAATTTATGGATCTCATCTTCTGCCGATGGTATTTAGGTTGTCCCCAGTTTTTAGCTAATAAAAAGGTAGTGCTCTAAACATGCTGTACACATCTTCTGGAGCACACATAGAAGAGTTCTTATAGGGAAATGGTTCTTGGTTCTGCCAGCACGTGGAGGCATCTGGGGAGCTTTACAAAATCCTAGAGTCAAGGCTGGGCCCCAAATTGATTAAACCAGAACCTCTAGGGGTGCATCCAGCATGAGTGTGTGTAAAGCTGGCCAAGTGATTCCAATGAGCTGTCAGTGGTGACCACCACTGCTCTGGACCAGTGTTCCTCAGGGTATGTGGTCCTCCAGCCAGCAGCCTCATCTGGGCACTTGATAGACGTACATGCTCAGCCCCTGGCCCAGATTCGGTGGGTGAGAATCTGTTTTAGCAAGACTTCAGGTGATTGCACTGCACCTGCAGGCCAGGTGCATCTTCATCTACAGGTATTGCCACATGGCAGCTCACGATGGTGGAGGCCCACGGCACGGCTGTGGTTTTATGTCACTGTGCTCGGCACTTGGTGGGTTCTTGCTCTGTGAAAGCTCCTTTCCTTCAGTCCTAGGAGATATTCTTGTATCATTTCTTCTACAATTTTCTCTCCTCTCTTTTCTGTTTCTTGGCTTGAAATTCCTATTAGTTGGAGGTTAGACCTTCTACATGGATCTGATGTTTTGGTTGTCCAATGGTCCTGACTTTTCTTTGTTTCGGTGTTTTACCTTCTGGGAGATTTTCTCACATCTTCCATCCCTTCTAATGCCTTTAAAATTTTCTGCTATCATATATTTTTAAAAAATTTTCAAGAGCTTTAACACTTCCTTTTAAAAAATGACACTCTCTTCCTGTTTCATGGGCAAATATCTTCGGAGGACTGTTCTCTGACCCCTTTCTTCTGTGTACTGGAGCTGTTGGTTTTGGTCAACTGCTGGTGCCCCTGGCTGTTGCCACTATGACTGTAACACAACAAAGCTAACAGGAAGCTCTGTACATGTGCGTAGGGCTTGGGAATGGGGGCCTCATAGTGATGACTGGGTAGAGACTGGGGAATTGTCAATTTCAGGATCTGTCAGTCTTTTCTCTTTGCTCAGTTTCCCAGAGAGAAATTCAATAATGTCCTGCCTTGGGGTGGCTGGATGGGAAAAGGCCCAGCTGTCAGCAGAGGAAGGGGGCTGAGGGTCTCCCCATTAACCATCGCTTCACTCCAGCCTTTGGCAGGTCTTGGGGTTCCCAATCCAGAACCTTCTAGTTCAACCTTGGCCAGCTGTACACCTGTCTTCTACCAGGATCAGAGAAGGGCAGTCACGTGCCATCTGGGCTCGGGTCTAACCACTTCTTCCAACCAATACTATTTTCACACCATCTTGAACTCCTGCCTTAGGGATACCCGGTCCCTCCATGTTCTGAGCATTTGGGGGATTCTGCAGAGAAAATGGGCTTGTTCAGGGTTGCCAGCTCCCTTAGACACTTCGGGGAGTGGGGGAAGCCGGCACTAAACAAGTTATACTCTTCCAGCTTCCAAAGTTTTCAGACCTCTCTTACCTGCTGCCATCTTTGCAGTTCATGCCATTTTCATTCCTTTATGTCATTTTGGTGGGGTTTGGGGAGACAGAGGAAATACAGATGTGTTCAGTCCACAGTGTTTAACCACAAATCCTTGCCCATTTTACACGCATTTTGACACATTTACATATAAGTTCATATGACTCATTTTGATTATCTGTACTTTTTATTTTTACTTAGATGGCCTTGTTTTTCCCATTCAATGTTAGGTTTGTGAGCCCTTCTAACCCACGCAGATCTAGCTCATTCCTTTTACTGCGGCTTAGCAAGTGTTCCAGCAACGAACGTACCACATTTTTTCCATCCATTTCTCTACTGATGCATCTCAGAAACACAAGTGATTGTGGCCTTTTGATCAACACGCTGGCTCAATGCAAATTCTAATCTTTATTGTTTCTATTCTGAAGCATAACTTGTCACAGGGAAACAGTGTTTTTATTACTTTTTTTTTTTTTTTACTGTCTGCCAGCGACTAGGGTAAAAGAGCTAATGGTGGGGGCCTGAGAGCCTGGAGAAGAAGGCCCTTCGAGGACCAGGCACGGGGTGGTCAGGAGCGAGGGTGTGGACGCCATACACACAGAATCACACATTCTCTCTCCTCCAGGAAAGGTTTTCCAGAAGCATCTGCCCACACTTTGAATTAAGTGTTTTTCTGCCAAACTGAGCCTACTGAAGAGGAGTGAATTAATGGCTTAGGGAGCTTCACGCCCAGCAGGGGGCTCAGCTGAAGGCTGCTTGCTCTTCAGTGAGTGAATTCACAGTGTTCACCAGAACCCTTTCCAGCTCCAGCAGTCCTCGGGGAGGCCAAGGAGGGCTTCCAAGAAACCTAACAGAGAGCCAGGTTCAACAGCAGCTCCTGGGCCGGGAGGGAGGAGGCTGCATCCACGTTCAGAGCCGCAGGGGAAGGGGGAGGATGGGTGGATGTCTCATCCCACCTGCTCTGGGTTCCTCTCCGGGGGCCACGCTTAGGTGTGAAGGGTCACGCCCAGGCTCTGATTTCTTTTTCCATGAATACAAATATGGAGAAAGCCCTACCTGGCACCCTCTGAAATTGCAGTGCATAGGGGAAGGCCCCAGAAGGTGGGTCGGAAGGCCCTTCCAGTCCAACTAAGACGAGAGCAAACTTAAAATGAACATAGGGGTAGACTGGGGGTGGGGCTGGGGGCAATAAATAAAGGTCACGGCTGAGGGGAGTGACTGGGGTGGCGGTGGAGAGGGGGGCTCCCAGGAGAGAAGGGGTGCAGAAAGGCACTGGTTTGGGGGAAGCAGACTCAGCCTTGCAAACACTGGTTTGTTGAGCCAGAGGTCACGTCCGACAGGGCTGGCGGTGGAGGGCCCTGGGACTGGTCAGGAAGGAGCCGGGTAGGGTCTGGCTCCAGCGCTTTCTCTCTCTCTCAAGCTCTTCCACTGGAAAGTCTGCCCCACGCACCAAGCACGCCTCTGCTCAGGGCAGGCAGAGGGGACCGTCGGAGCCTACGTCAGCAGCAGGGGCTCGCCCAGGTGTGCCTTCTACCTTTGGGGGAGAGAAAAAAAGGCCACTATAGGGGTAGCAGAGGCAGAGTCCCACCCCAGTGACAGTGTGAGCTTTGGGAATGAGATGCAGGGAAGGCTGACTCCTTGCTGGAGCGGCCTGCACCTGAAGCAGCTGCCCCGTCTGAAACTAAACAGGGGGCTGCCCGGGAGGGCCGGCGGCTGAGTGCTGGGCAGGGGGCACCTGCATGCTGGGCCCAGCCCTGCTCCGCTGTGCTGTGTCATTGCAGGCAGGTCGCCCAGTCCCTGGGCTTCAGCGTGGCCATTGATACCTGGGCTAGTCAACACAGGTGATCTTGGGATGCCAGCAGGAGCAAATGGACATGGGAACATACAACCTTTCTCTAGGCCAGTCCTTTCCAAGTAACAACTTAAGCCCTGGAACCCTGTCTATGTGCTGGGCCACACAGCCTGCCCCGTGATTACTGGACAGTTCCTGAAGACCCACTCAGGTAGGTACCCCACACGGACCCTGGATCTTACCCTCCCTGCAACCTACAAGGGACACGATGTGGTCCCCATTTCAGTGATAATGGAATTGGGCACTGAGAGATCAAATATTAGATTGAATCTTATGGATTTGCCAATATTTAACTGTTTTTGATCTACAAAAATGCAATTTCATGTGGTTTGACCTGATGGTTTGCCCAAGTTCCCATGGCTATGGGTGGCAGGGCTGGGACTGGAGCTTGGGCCTGCTTGATTCCAAACCGCCCTCCCTGGGGAGATTGCAGGAGGCGAGGGTAGGGGGGAGAGGGTGCACGTCCACGGCGCCTCCCTCCCTGAGACCTTCCCACCCAGCGTCACAGTCTGTCTCTGTCCCTCATGACCATCAAGAGGGGAAATGAGGGAGGAGGAGGGAGGGGAGGGGAAAGGGGAGGGGAGGGGCGCTCCCACAGGGTTTCCTGGGGGGTACTCCCCAGCCCAGCAGGCCTGCAGCCGTCCCCGTGCGCGGCAGGGGCACCAGCTGCTGCGCTGACCCACGCAGCGTGCACCATGGATCCTCTGGTTGTAGACGCACTAAGTCCAGCTGGGGCTTCTTTCTGGAAGGAGGCTGGGCGCCGATCGGGCCTGCACAATTTTCTCCCGCTTGAGTGTGAGGACTCCCCTGTCCCCCAAGTGCATGGTGACCTCAGGTTGGCCGGGGCCGGTGGGAGCTTGGACTCTTGCCCTCGGCTTCCACACCCATCACATGGGGATAATGAGCCTCCTGTCTATTTGGCCAAGAGAACGAAAGTTGACCTTGGAAGTGCAAGGGCAGGCCGGCCTCCATGCCGTCAGCTCTAGGGGTCCTGAATCCTCCCTCTTAGGATTTGGGCCTGCCCTGGCCTGGGCTCTGTTTTGGGTGAGCTGATTTGCCTTCCTCAGCTATGCAGTAGGTTTCTGGAGGCCAGGGACTGTCGTCCCCCACCGCACCCGGCCCAGGCTGGGCACGCACTGCCTGGTGACTAGCAGGTGCTCTGAGAACGGAGTTACTGTGACTGTTAGGCAGGAAGGGAAATGCTCTGAAAGATTATACATTTCATAAAGCAGAGGGTAGAAACAGCCATTGTTACAGTTACTGAGAACGGATAGGGACAGTCACCACTGTCCTTTTGGGTCCCTTTTTCTGTTCATTGTGGCCACGGATGGGCCTGGCTTGCCTCTGTTCAATGGGCACCTGGTACAGGACTCAAAAATGCAGAGAACTGAAAACACCCCCCGGGGAGGTGCAGATAGAGAGGAGGTGGGTACGATGGAAGGAGGAGCTTGGTACTCACTGTGGCCTTTTGGGTCCGGCCTGGGTGGGGCCCCCACTGTGGGTCTGCAGAGCCGGTCCCGTCTCGATGGCCAGGCTGCTCTGGCTCCCTGAGAGGTGGCTGGGTGGGCGGGGAGGCCCCATCTTTGATGACTCCACACTGCCACCTGCAAGAAACCACATGAATGGTTCAGGGCTGCGTCTTTTGGGCCTTGAACCGAGACGGGGACCATCTCAGCCTGACAAGGAGCTGATCTAAAGTCTCCTCATTTGGAATTGTGACCTGTATCTATGGGACCGTCTGCCAGAGCCCCTTGCCCTGGGAACCGCCACCCCCTTTCCCCATCCACATGGCTGCCATGTTCCAGTGGGACCCCACCCTCTGGCCACTGCCGACTGGCCCACAACCTACAAAGGCAATCGAATGGGCCCTGAGGTCATTTCACTAAGGAACAAGTAGTTACCCACATGAAAACTGGCAGTGAGGACGAGTCTGTCCTGCCCTCGGAGAAGGAGGGTGTCGTGGGGAAGCGTGTAAATTTCTGTTAACCCAACAAGAGGGACATTCACTGCTGCCTCTGCAGACTAAAGAATCCTCACTCAGACACGGTTGTTAGCCCCTGCCCGGCCCAGAGAGCAGAGGTGGGGCCTGCAGACTGCACTCCATCTTTCCATCTCCTGACCCGCTTGGCCGCAGCTGAGAGCCGGTGTGAAGAGAGGGGACACGAGCTGCGGTAGTGGGAAGTGAGGAGTGTAAAACCTGCCCTAGCAACCAAGGCTGGCAGGTAAGTGTCCTCCACACTTTCCTAAGAGAGAATCTGCAGCCTGAAGGGGCCTAAGAGATCATCTAGTCCAGGGACAGTTTTCACCTCATGCATCATCCCCGCCTACTGATACTGATCCCTGGGAAAACTGCATGCAGGAGGATCCCGAAGCCATGTCAGGCTCTGTGGGAGAGAGTACCGTGATCAACTGGTAATGTCTGCAATGGGCACAGGAGTGCCAGGCATTGGCATCTCTGACCTAGTCCAGACTGCCACCCCCGGCAGGGATCCCTTCCGTATCAGTTCTGGCAGAAGATCACCCAGCCTTCCATTTCCTTCCAGTTTGAGGCGGTTACTGAAAAGCTTTCTTCTTAGGTATTAAATTCAGCCTGAAATGTCACGCAAGTATCCCAGTTCTAACCTTTGGAGTGACTCTGAATGAAGCTGGTCCTTTTCCTGGGAAGGTCCTTCATGTGTCTAAAGGAAAGGAATGGAAAATGTGCCCCCCCAGGTCTTCTCTGCATATATACCTGAGCTTCCCTTCCATGTGTTTGTTTTTTTTGTTTTTTTTTTGGCTGTTCTACACAGCTTGTGGGATCAGTTCCCTGACCAGGGATTGAACCTGGCCCATGGCAGTGAAAGCCGGAATCCTAACCATAGGCCGGCAGAGAACTCCCCTTTCCATCTGTTCTTGAGCGGTGCCAACACTTTAGCTCCTAGCCCTCCCAGCTGATGGCCCATTTTGCCTCCCGGATCTAGAACAAGTCCACAGACCCATCCACTGGGGAGCCACTAGGGAGCGGTAGCCTGTGGAAGCAGCAAAGCCACTGCTCCGGGGGCTTGGGAAACAAACAGGGCTGCTTTCCACACTTACCTGATTCCCCCCAGGGTTTGTCGCCTTTCCGGTCCCTGACCCCAGTGGGTGGGAGTCTGTCCTCCAGGCTGGAGGAGCTGAGATCTGAGTCACTGTCACTGTCGCTGGAAACCACTGGAAAAGAGACACCAGCACAGAAGGTCACCCCCACTGGCCACCACCGGCAGGCATGTCAGACAGAGGGGACCAGGGCAGGCATCTTCCTTCCAGGACAAGGTGGCATAGGACCTCCGCCAGCCCTGGTGTTTGGGGCACGGGGACAGTGGTCCGGGGATAGGGATGGCAGGGTACTCCTTTCTGTCAGTCAAAGAGGTGAGTCCCGGTGTGAGGAGGCGGGGACTCGGGGGTGCGGTGCCCAGTATGACCAGCACCGGCAGGGAGGGCTCAGTCCTCAGGCAGCCATCTCCACCCATCACCCCCTCCCTGTGGCTGAATCAGAAGCCTCTTGCTGGGAGGAGATGATTACCCCCTTTGGTGCAGGCCCAACTGCACCTGGCAACATTTAAAGGTGCCCGGCCATGCTCTGCAGGGATAATTCCAGTCCTCGCTGACCCTGATGGAGGGCTCCAGGCCCCTGACATACACTAACTCAAGGAAGCTTCAGAACAACCCTGCAAGATAGGAAATAGCATTGTCCCCATTTCACAGGCAAGGAAACCGAGGCCCTTGCCCACAGTGGGATTCTTACTCTGGTGGGCTAGCTCCACAGCCTGTGTTTGTAACCACTCTGATTCCACCAGAAGAATGGAACTGGGAGCCAGCAGGCCTGGGCTCTCATCCCAGCTCATCCAGCAACTTCCAGTGGGGTCTTGTGAATGCAGAAGGAGCAAGGCTGGTGGGGCTGGAACCCCAGGAGAGGGAAGGGGAGGGAGGGGGAGCTCCCACAGTGAGCACCTGCTGTGGTGGAAACCCTCTTTTCTGGACTAAATGCAACCATATTTGGCTGGTTAGTCAACAGTGGGAGTCATAATACAGGATCTATTCATACATTAAACTCCATTTTAATTTTAAGCATAGAAATGTACATCCATTCGCCAATCTTTTTTTTTCTTTTTTTTTTTTTTTTTTTACAGTTGTGCTGCCTACACCTAATTCAATAGCCTTTTTAAGCAAGTGACTCCTACCAAGTCTTTCCAAAGTCTTGGTTTTAATGAAACGACTCTGTGTCTTTTCTGACTTTTGTCATCAATTTATATAACATTTAATTAAATGATGTAATTATAATAGCAAGTATAACCGCACAGGAAGGTTTGGGATCACAGGTAACCAGCTCGCATAGGTGACTAACTCAGCGGGTGGGGTAAGCGTCAGTGTGTCTTCCCCAGGAATGCAATACGCTGGTTACGGAGGGAGTTGAGTGCTTTCTGCCAGGCACTGTGCTAGGCACCTGGGAAGCATTATCTTACTTGATCTGTAGAACAAACCTGAGCCATAGGGACATGTTTGGTGGGAGATGATACTGGAAACAAAACCAATCTATATCAAGGGCGGCTAATAGGTTTCATCTGATGCTCTAGGCCCCTCTGGAGCAGCGTGCAGAGGAGAATCCTGAAATTGCATTAAGGCCCAGCAGGGAGAGAGTCTGGTCAGTTAGGGAAGCCCACAGTGGTTCCAGGAAGGGAAATGGCAGAACCTAGGCCATGTAGCTTCCACCTGGATCTAGAGCCTTCTGGAAAGTTTTCATGCCTTCAGCCTGTGTCACCTTTCAGCTAAGTCACAAGTCATAGAACCAAGCAACCAGAGGGGCTGGCGCTGGCTGACCACTTCAGCCTAAGAGATCCTTGACCCTGTGCTTCCACAGCAGGGCAGCCGTGCTTCGAAAGCTTTAATGACTAATTGGCTCTTCTCCCTCCCTCACCCCCACATCTTGCCAGTTTCACTGGCTCTCCTATCTGGGGCTCCTCTGGCCCCACGTGGCCTGGAGCTCCTGCCAAACTGCCGGTCAGCACCTCCTGCAGGGACTGGCTTCCCTCTACCCAGAATGCCCTGCCCACCCCTCTTCTTCTGGCTTAGTTCGGGTACCACCTCCTCCAGGAAGCCTTCCCTATGGCTCCCACCTGTCTGGCTGAACGCCTTGTGTGTTCTGCTACATCTGCAGCAACTACTTCCCGCTTGAAGTGTTCTGTGTGTGTTTCCCCCAGCAGGCGGAGAGGCTCCTGGAGGGCAGGGGACAAATTGCACCACAGTTAAGGCTGGCGTGCTTCTCCTGCAGAGCCTGATCCGTGGGGGTGGGACAAGAACGATGCTAACAGGATTGCTTCCAGCTTTGCCTTCCTCTGTCTGCTCAAGGATTTTGCCTCTTCTGCTGTTTCTTTCCCTTCTTGCCCTCAAGGAAGAGTTCTGCTTTGGCTTTCTGGGCTCTTGTGATGTAGAATCAAAAAGAGATGGGGATGGGAGGGGTTGTGGTCCACATGCCCCCTTTACAATATCTGAGAAACGCAAGTAAAGGCCTGACTTATTTTGCAATCGCGTTTTAGGTCCCAGACTGGGTTTCTTTGATTATGAATCCACCGAGACCCGATTTTATGGGCATCAGTTTTATAAGCATTTACGTATTTTTGGCTCATTCACTGACTGACTAAATGCCAACTCTGTGGGTCCTCAGACAAAGGGAGTGGGGGGTGGCAGGAGGTAGCAAGCAGCTCCCCATGTCTCCCTAGGGGCAGATGCAAAGGCACTGGGGAGGATTCTGCCCCCTCCCGCAGCAGGAGGAGGGGGTGTCCAGCGGCCTGTTAAGCAGTGGGAAATCCCTGAGGGCAACACGGTTACTGTTCTTCACATTGGTTTCCCCATCTCTTTGGCAGAGACGCTTACGGATAATTTATTCCTTTTTCCTGACTTGGAATGTTCCGTCTCCCCCATGTTTGATATGCAGGACCTTCAAAATTCTGGAGCAGGGTGGAGAATATGAGGCTGAGGCAGTGGGGGGTAGGGGACATGACACGGGGCTCCATGGTATGGAAATAATGCCTGGATTCTTTGGTGCTAATGAGCAGATGCCACAGGGCACAACATACCAAGAGCCTGAAAGGAGACGATGGGAAAGGACATCCCAGGACTCGGGTTATGGTGGCTACTCATTCACCCTATTTCTTCACTCTGCTCCCTGTTCTGTCATCTGTGGTACATGGTCACAGTGCTGAGCTAGGAGTGGGCTTAAGCCGCAAGAAGGCTGCTATGCTATGTTGCAAGAGCATTTTTTGTTGGGAGGGGTATGTGTTGTCCAAGCGCCAACCCTGGAGGTGGGGTTCAGGGGCCATATTGCCTAGTTCCCACTTGGTGCCTATGCTGTGCAAGGTTTAGAAAAAATAAACCTCCCCAAGTGACAGTCAGTTGTCTTGTTTTTTTGTTTCCTTTTATAGACAAGGGCCACAGCCATGGAAGGGGGGGAACAGCCCCAGATGACAACTGAGCTCACAAAGACATCACAGAGCAGAGAAGCAGCCAGCCAACGACTCATCCCTTTTGGATTCGTTCTCCCTCAGCTCAAGCATCCTTGCTCACTGTGTCTGCGATTTCAAGCAGGGGGCCAAGCCTCAGCTTAGAGGTCTCTGTGGTGCAAACTCAATCCCATTTCTAGTCCACTCTAATAAACCCCACTCGAAAGGAATAAACCCAAGGAAGTCGGCAGTGTTGACACCTGGCCTCGGCACTTATGTCAGTGGGAAAGAAACGCACCAAGGAGACACTGTGGAGAACATCCCTGGACACAGCCCAGTGCAAACGCTGTTTATCCAAATACTCCTTCGGCAGCAAGGGAAGAAGTTTTTCTTCTTCCTCCCCCTCCAAATGTTGCTGTTAAAACCTGAACCTTGGCTAATTTGCCATTCGATTGCGCTGCCACCTTTTTCCCTGCACGGCAGCTGCGATCGTAAATCTTCCAGGTCTATTAACAAAGCTTTTAGGCTCATAAATCTTTTGACTCTTGCCCTTCCATCCTCAAGAAAACACTCTCTGTGTCTGGAGGCTGAGTTTTTTCCTCTCATTCCCCAAAGGCTGAGTCTAGGATGGTTCCGTCAGTGACGAGTGCTTGTATTCTGCCCACGCCTGATTTTCAGATTGAAAATGGGAAAACACCAGGGAGAAGACTGTCCCGATAGCTTCCCCAAGAAGGAGGTGTCACTAAATGGATTCACCCGGGCTCTGCCAGGAGGCAGGGAGGAGGGGGGCCTCCCCCTCTGCAGTGGCTTGAGCCCCTGGACCACTTGCTTGGGGACCTGGCGTCCCTGAGATTTTCCCATCATGCCGCAGCAGGGCTGCCCCACTCTGCCCAGCTCTCATCCTCAGAAGCGGACAGCCCCAGCACCAGCCATGCCTGCTTCTCTGGGGAGAGGCCAGCTTTTTTTTTTTTTTCCCCTGGCTCACTCTTGGATGGATTTGCAATTTGACTGTCACCATGGAAACTCAGAGTTTTGGTACATGAAGGTGGGGGGAAGTCTTCCCTTTTGGAAAGTCTTTCCTGACTGCCTCAAAGAACATGTGGCAGCTGCTGGCTTGTGGAGATACCTTGCCTGGGACGGTCCAGGGGACAGGCAGGATGCTGGCCACTGGACCTCACAGCACTGCACTGGGATTTGGGGACCTGCTTCCTGCCTCTGCTCTGCCACCATCTCTCTTTGTGACCCTGGGGACACCTCTCAGGGCTTCATCACACACAAAAAGAGGCCAACCTAGACAGCCACTCTGGGTCTGAATCCTAGGATTCAACTTCAGGTCAGGTTTGTTCCATCAGTGGAGAGACCCCAGTGCCCCACTCTGGTTGAGAGGTGGGGAGATGTGACTTTTGGGCCACACAACGTCTGCCTGCCTGGCACAAGGACAGCCAGCAGCCTGTAAGCTCGGGAGGCCCTTGTGAGCAACTGCTGCTCTGCTTGGAGGCTCCCAAAGCCCCAAGAAATTACGGGAATTAGAGAGGAAGAGAGATATTTTCAGCAAATATTCTGCCAGAGGCAACGCAGATGGTGGAAAATTTTGCATACTAAAAGCAAAAAAAAAAAAAATTTTTTTTAATGTAAAGGAAAGATAAGGCCCTGGGGAATGCAGAGACGTCCCCAGTTAGCCTTACCCAGCCCACCAGGCGGGCACAGCTGCAGAGAAGAGTCACAGAGCTGTCC